GCGGCTCAGGGAGTACGTCACATGCAGCGTCGTGAACAGTGCCCTAGGGTCTGTAAATTTAATGGTCCAATGAAGGTAATTTAAAAAAACAGGACATTTCCTCACTTTCTAAAAAAAACCCGGGACGCCCAGGACAGGACGTGAAATACGAACATGTCCTGGGAAATACGGACGTTTGGTCACCCTACCTTAACAAACATGTATCGGTCAATCTCTGCTATGCTAGCTGGAAGCGAAGTAGTTTAGGTTTATTTCTTTGCAATAAGGCTGAACCCCTGGCCAACTGGATAGAGAGCGTGTTTCAGTTCCTGACCAATTTCTCTGTCCCTGTGGAAGAACATTTTCTTCACAGCATCTGACAGTCAAGGCTTGTGTTAGCTTGTTTTTTATGCTTTATTTATACTTTATCAGATGTACACATGAACATCCACAGAGACCCATAAGAACATGAATGAAGCATGTATTGGTAATGTATAATGTTCAGAGACATATCATAGTAAGGTAGCAGCAGATAAGTAATTCACATATGTTCAAGATGAAGGTATGAGTAAATTAAAATGGCAGAAAAAGTAATGCTGCGTCACGTTTGAATGCTTGGTTGTTTCTATAGGAAGAGCTAGTTTTATTAGTTTCATGCAGATTGGCTCCACTCTGTTTATTTCCATCTGTAATGGAGAAAGTTTGCCTTTTTTAAGAAAGGAGTTTATCTGATTTTATCTGAAGACGAATGAGGCTTCAAACCACGCCGCAGATAAAAGTGTTGAATGTGATGAAACATCTTAAGGAGGGACTCATCAGCATTACTGCTTTATTACATAAAGTATGTATGGAAAAGCTTCACATACTTCTGTAAAGAAGCATATTTTCCGTAACGTAGTTGGAACCTGATGGTTTCTAGAACATCTGGGACGCTCAGTGGGATGAATATTTATGTTTAATGTCTTCTAGCAGTTTTTTTTTTTTTTTTTGCTCTGTATTTTGCTCCATTCAGGTTCCCTCATCTCTGACTGGATTTCCTGCTGTTGCTAAAGAAAAAATAAACCCCCTCAGCATCATGCTGGTACCATCGTGTTGGGATGGTGTGTTCAAAGTGACGTAAAAAAAAAAAGGGTTTCTGGATATAAGAGCTTTTAAAAGCCACTGTAAACCTGAAACCTGAGAGGCAAAGATCGTTTTTAGCATCATGCGCTACAGGAGACCCACTGCTTTGACTGACAGCTCCATACCTCTCCACTCCCCTGCCTAAACATTGTCTGTGTTTGCTAATGAGCGAGCTGATGTGTTCATGTTTGGCCCTGAGGCTGTTTTTATTGCTAAACCTTTATTTTGTTTGTTTTTCTGTTCCTCTAGGGATTGTGTGCGTGTGTGATATTAATGCAGTTTGTGCTTCGTTTACTTCTCTCCAGCTTGTCAGTGTAATGGTCACAGTCAGTGCGTCAATGAGAGCGTGTGTGAAAAGTGCGAGGATCTGACAACCGGCCGCCACTGCGAGAGCTGCATCTCCGGCTTCTACGGGGATCCGACCAATGGGGGCAGCTGCCAGCGTAAGTATCCTCGAGGCACTCAGCTCGGCTCTAAATCACTTTTCATTTAACGTGTCACTTTTTTACAGTCCATTTTTATGTCTGCTGGTTTTCTGAGTCCTATCTGCACCGTAAAAACCTCCCACTGGGATATTAAAGATTTACTTCTTCTACATCTGATACTGACAGTCAGTCAATCAGGCCATAAATCACTGGTTCGATGTCTCGACAGCCCGCTGTAGCTTTCTGGTAAATTACTGCTGCAGGTATTGTTGTATATTGTTGTTTTGTCTCCTACCTAATTCACTCCTACGAGGACCTGCATCAGTAACCCTTCATCACTACACCAGGTTGTTACTGTTATTCATTCTTTGATTGTAATTATTTTTAAGAGCATACAGGAAGTGCAGCGACAAATCATTTTATATATTTAAACAGAAAATCTGTAATAAAAATGAGATTATCTTTAATTCTAGGTTTTTTTTTAAAAAAAACTACTTCGCACTGAGAATAAGATCTTTAAACAAAGTTCATGGTTTGAGCTTCCAACAAGAATCGCACAGATTTTGGAAAAGATCTGAATTTTCTCAAATATTTTGCTGCATGGATACACATGGAAAAGCTTTGTTTACTTATTTATCCAAACTTCTGCCTGTTATTTAAACCATCACTCTTCTTGTCAAAGCACTCTGTGTTTCCGTCTGACTCTGGAATTAGTTTGTGTTAACTCTCCCACCAGAATGGGTTTTGATCTGTGAATTGGCGAAATTATTCAAATGGAAACTAATCTTCAGGTTTGGTTATTTGTTAATTAAAGGCCTCAGCAATGCAAAAGGGCGGTAGGGCCTCTTCAGCGACGTTGCTCTTGAATTGGTTATAAGGTCGTTTCTTAACAGAACTAAATCAGATTTCACATTTCTACAGAAAAATGATATGCAGCTGAAAGATTTCAGTTTATAAAAGTGAAAATTACAACAAGTTCACCCTGAAGTTTGATTGTTTAATGCTCCAAGCAATCAGCAGGAGAGAAGGAGCCCCGCATGTTCTTTGTTAATGTTTAGAACTACCAAAAAAAAAAAAAAAAACTGGACAAAGTTGCCAGGAATTTGACTCCTCCTTCTTAAAAGGAAAACGAGACAAAATGAACATGAGCTAAATTTAGCTTGTGGTCTAAAGCAGTGGTCTGAAACTCCAGGCCTCCAGATCAACTAGCCTGCAGCTTTTAGGAACATCCTTAGTCTAACAAACCTGAATCAAATGAGTGTTTCATCTTTAGGCCTTCACTAAACCTAATGGCTCAGTGGGGAGATAATGAGTCATTTCATTCAGCTTGTTTGGAGCAGCGATGTACCGAAAGGTTGCAGGGTGGTATATCTGGAGGAGTCGGAGACCTCTGCTCTAAAAAGCAACCTGCTGCAACCTGCAACCTGCCTCTACAATGGCTTTTAATAGTGACTACAAATGGTCCAAAAACCAACAACTTTGGGAATAATAACAGATTCCAGCCCTAGAAGCTTTAGATGGTGTTTTACAGAATATCTGAATAACATTTTCAAAATGGAATGACAAAATAACTACAGAAATATGAATTTGGAGTCATTCTTTGTTAAATATGTGTCCTTCTGAAACTTTTTTTTTCTTATTTTAGAAGCCAGAAAAGGAGCAAATAAAGTGTTACTTGTTTAAAATAACAACAGTTAAAAAAAATAACAAAAATAGGGATAAAAAATAGAAAATGTTTACCATCTCAGCTAGCTGATAGCAATTTTTTTTCATTCTATTATATACAGCATAAACTCTTCTCCCTCCTGTCTTCTGCAGTCACTGCAATTGTTTTGTTTATGAAACTTAAAACAATAAAACTTGTCCAGTTGAAATTAAAACATTTATACTTAAGAATCTCCTTCGTGACGCATTCAAACACCAATTGATACTTTATTGTCATAAAATTAGTGCCTTATATATCAGTAAATTGCACTGGTGGAAACGGCCAATATTTAGTTTTAAAACTATCGCCCAATACCAATAGCACGCTGATATCGTGGATCACTTCTATGAAATAATGTTTTAACTAAAAGTTGTGCAATATTTGCAGCTCTGAAGGACTATTTTCTCAGCTGGACTTGGAGCAAAATGACTCTTTGGATTGTAAAGGTTGCAGACTTAATGCCTAAAGTAGTTTAAAAAATGTACAATGAAATTATCTAGTTTTATTTAAGGAGAAGAAATAAATATTTCTCCAGCTGAACAAATGATTATCGCAGTTGGCGTAATTAAAACTTTAAATATGTTGCATTCTGACACTGAATCTTGTAGTTTTAAGCAACAATAAATAGATTATTAATATATAATATCACGCAGCACAGAGGGATATCAGCTGGTTGATTAGCTGGGCTTTCTAGCCTGTTTAACAGATGTGTTCCTCATGGTGTGTTTGCTTAATAAGAGTGGGTGGTGGACCTTTGTTGTTTTTGCTGCGCTAAATATTTTCAAACAGATGGATTTGTCTTTATTGTAGGTGTTCGAGAAGCTATAAGCTATTTTCTGCCAAACCAGCTTTGGGAATTTCAGCAGAAAATGGAAATCTCACACCCACATAAAAAGGGTGCCCCTAACACAGCGGCGCCATGTTAACAATTTTAGTATATTAACCCAACTGTCATTTTTAATCAATTCAAGTTTGAACATGTTTTTTTTTCAGATCTCTTCTTTCAAAGTGAAAAGTCTCCCAAATATGCAGCCAATAAAGTTGTCGTAAGAGAAATGTAACCTTCTTTGTATTTATTTGTTTTTTCTTTTCAGCCTGTAAGTGTAATGGCCACGCCAGTATGTGCAACCCCAACAATGGCAAGTGCTTTTGCACCACTAAAGGCATCAAAGGAGATAGATGCCACATGTAAGTTTCTCTTTTTACTTGTCTTTGCTGTTTTTCATTCATATTTATATATTTCAATTCCACAAAGAATATACAATGGAAATATGGTCTATGTAATGAACCTGGAATCTTTGTATTATGAACTCTGGATCTAGTTTGACTAAATGCAAAGTAAGATGAAGCTCCCTTATACCTTAAGATGTTATATTTTTCTTTAGGAGCTTATTACTAAAGTGGAATGAATATTATAATAAATCCATGCTTTATTGTTATTAAGCTAAATTCTCAACAGCGTGGCTTGTGTTTGCATTCTGATAAATAAAATGTTACACTATTCGGAAAGCTTGAAATTACTAAATTAATTCCTTGTGAAGCTAGAAACACCAAAAGTGGACAGCATCAGATTGTAAACATGTAAGTTGGTCTGATGAGTCAGTTTTAAATCCAGTGTTCAGTGTGAAGGCTTGGATCCTTCAGTTCATGTTGCGTTGTTGGTGGAATGGTGTGGTGTATCTCATGGCAATAGAACACATTGTGATATTTTAACCCAAAAACGAACGGCAGAAAAACACCCCGAAAAGTCATAATTACCTTTAACAACCACACATGTAGAGGATACAGCACAGAAAAGGAGGGAGGTGTTCAGGTCAGGTCTTCATGTTGCTTTGTTTCAATAGTAGGAATCTCTGTAAACCAGCCACTATCAACATGGTGAGAGCATCACGCTGCAGAAATTTCCTTCAGCTCTTGACAATTCCACAAAATATGCCGCCTAGAACAGTAGAAACCAGGCATCGATCCCGCATCTATGACCGCCAACATCTGCTGGAGCTACGGTCACAAAATGTTTTAAATACAGCCAATATTGATCGTTTAAAAAGCTGTGGAGTGCTATGAATGGTAGGGGGAAAAAACATGTTCAAAATAAAAATTATAAATAATACTTAAAGTTGAGTCTACGTCCAAGTCTAAGTCTGAGATGCTTTTCATCAGTAGACAATAAAAAGCGCTAATAGCAGTAGCTGAAGCTAGCTCTGCACGGTCTGAACTCGGGAAACAAGAATACAGATGCATGTCGCATTCTTTAGATTTTTATTTACAGAAAATGTTTTTTTCCCCTGTGCCAGAGTTATAAACTAACTTAAATTTTATTTTAGGACTGTCATGAATACAAATATATTCAATACTCTGTATGATTTTTCATACCATGGGGAAATAAATCATATAATTAAAGGCATAAAAATATTTTTAAAGCTCATCTTTTTCAACAGAATCACAGATGCTATTTATAAAAAATGTGCAGATAAAGGCCAAATAACTATCCAAAATATAAACCCAACTTGAACAATATTTTAAGGCTGCCTGAGGAATTATTCTTCTAATGTGCAAATAATTCAGGAATCTATGATTTTCAAGAGCAAAACTATGCAACCAGCCGTTACCTTTGGCATTGACACCATGTCAAATAAGTATTGCTTTTGGATACAGAGTTTGAGTATCTTTAAAGAAATCAGTTGGTTTTTATGCCGAAGACTAATAAAGTAATGTTTGTCACTTGGTAAAATAAAAGCTATGCTATAGATACAGTAAATTCCCATGGAGATGTGATGAACGAAAATTTGTTGCTGCATTTAGGCTGATATTAACTACCAAGGAATGGTTTAAGGCAGCATTTGTGTTTTATATTGGTTACAACATTATTAATAATAAAAAAAAATGTATGGGTTTCTTTTTATATAGTCTCTTTAGTAGAAGAGAAATACACTGAAAAACTGTAGTAAAAATTATAATCTGTTTTTCTAACAGCAAATGCTAAACTTTTAGCGCTTAATCCTCCCTACTAGTTAAAACGTTGCTAAAATGACTCACCAGCCTGTCCTGGCGCCTTTAATGCAGCAGAAAGCTTCTTTCATTTGGTGTTTTGTTTTATTTTCAGTCCTTTTTTCTTCTCCCTGGCCTTTATGATTATATGACTTTGGAGAGATCCATTTAATCCCACAGATAATGAATGAATGAATGGTCATCAGTATGGTAATGAGACCATATCTGTCCTATTTTTGCAGGAAATTGTTTCCTGTTCATTTCTTTCAGGTTTATTGTTCCTCATTCTCAACTTCATGATGTTAATTTAGCAGATGGAAAATCAACGCTCCCGTTTGTTCCCTCTTCATTTACTTCATTCTCTCTGTGCACCGACCTCCTGTTTGGACTCACCTTTTCTCCACCTTTGTTTTTAAGGTGTGAAGTGGAAAGCCGTTACCAAGGCAACCCCCTCAAAGGGACATGCTACTGTAAGTGTTACTCCCATTTTTTCAAGTGAACATAGCAGAGCAGCATAGAAATAGCTCATGAAATGGAGAATGAACTGACTGCAGATAAAAATGATAGTTGATAATCATGTTATTTCTATATTTTCAATTATTATTAGGTTGTTTTGTTATAGTAATTTATAAATAAATAAGATACTTTAATTACATGCATGATAAGTACATTTATTAACAATAATTACCTTGATTTTTCTGTTTTATAATACTAAATGATCATTTCTTTAATGATATATATGTTTTAAACACTGACCATGCAGTAAGAACCCGTTTGTCGGAAGGGGCTTGAAAGTGATTTAGAAGCTGTCAGAGGTTAATGAACAGAAGTTTCTGTTATCACCAGAATTAAAACTAAGTGCTGAAGCAATTCCCTGACTGGTTGACATGTCAGTGAAAACCAGCCAACAAAAGGTTTCAAATCTCTCTCTCGCCCTTCCTTTTTTCGTACATTTTTTTGTATTTGCGCCATTTTAGATTCACCAGACGGAGAAGAACGAGGGTTAGTTAAACAGCAGACAATGAAACGGCAGACATTTCGATTTTTCAGCTTAGCGATCAATTTAATGATTTCATTTAAAATGAAGTTCTGTATTTATTTTTTATGGTGTGTCACAGGTTGAGGTGTTTAGTATCTGGCTAAGCTCAGATGTGTGGCCTGTGGCACTGACCCTGAGCCAGAGGAGCCAGTGATTTCTAATGGAGTTCAACAGAACGTGTTATTACCAGCAGCCCATTTACCAGTGACATAAACAGTTTTATAGAGGCATGAGCATTAAAGGCTGATCATATAATTCAATTCCGTTTATTAATATGACGCAATTTACAACACGTCATTACAAGGCACTTTACAGAGACCATCCAGTCAGATTGGCTCACATTATTTTAGGAAGCCCAGCTGATTGCATCCAGTCGTTGGATCAGCACTGATAGCCACAGTTGACATTCGCTTGCTTTGCATGGTTGCCTCTGCAGCAAACCATGTAATTATCAAATAATTACAGCATTCATTTAATGTGAATGTTTTTACACTAACTGGTGGGACTACATTAACTGCTTATTTCACATGCAAACAGATGAAAAGGATAATTGTTACCTAATGACCAGTTTTCCCTGTATATCAACCCTGAGATACATGCCTTGCAAAAGTTTACATATTTTGTGAGGTCACGAACCCAAATATTTAAGTACTTTTTGGGGATTTTATTTGAAAGACTAAAAGAGTGAAATGGAAAACTGTCAGGAAGGGCAGAGCTCCGTCAGAAGTTTCCTGCCTTCTATTTACAAGTAGAGTGGAAAATTTTCTTTTTTCCGGGTGGATCATCTCAATAAGTTGTCCTCCTAATTGTCAATCATTCTGATGTGTGATATTTTTACATAAAGCTGCCCTATGTGCTCGTGCTACCTTTTTCTGCACATGCCCACTTTCAGGCGGTTCATTGAAAATGGCCGAGGGTCGTAAGAGAAAAGGTTATTATGGGATTTGCTGTCACAGCAGTAATAACAAAGATGACGCAGGCACCTTGCAGTTGAGGAGTAGTTATGTGACCAACAGGGAGCAAAATGCTGGTTATACTCCCCGCAACAGTGTGTCGCAGTGAGCTTGACACAGATATTTTTTAATATGCTCAATTTTGAGCATAGTCTGCGCTATACGCTGTGGGTTTAAGACACGGCCGAGGCGGTGAGGAAGTGGGGGCAGGTTTGTCCGACAGCAGAGGGACATGACGGCGAAGTTGACTAAATCAGCCTTTAGTCAACTTCGTCCACTATATAGTCCCCACTCTCTACAGTTATTGAGTGATTTAGGCGTTAGGGCGGACGTTCGGGAACGGTAAGCTTGTATGAGCTGTGAGAATAGCAACTTTTAAAGACATTGTGCATGAGGAGAAATGAGCTCATGCATGCTTTACACACATTTAATAGGCTTTCCCTCTCGGGAGTGGGTACAGGGTTGTGCATGTGCATTTTGTTTTTTTTAAGTTGAGAGTGCGGGTCTTTTAAAAATTCATGAAAATCCTCCACAATACTTTTAAAGGTCACAAAAGTCGATGTCCTAGATAGAAAATGCACATTGAAGGTATTTGCAAAAGGTATTTGATCATTAACTTTTAAAATCGCACATGATTTAGCACCTCCACCTTCTATTAAAGCACACATAATATGGAGGGAATTTTGTTCAATTGTCTTTTTCCATTTTTTTCTCAAAACCTTTTATCATTTATTTTAAATATTTTGCATTTTAAATCTCATTTTTCAAATTTATCTTTCTTTTCAAATCGTGTTCCACTGATCACATTTTCTTAACATCAACCCAAGTTAACTCGCACATTGACCGATAAAGAATTGTTTTAATGTTCGTGCACACCGATAGAAATGTGTCTTCATGCAATCCATAAAGCTCGATCTGAAAGGGGGAAAATAAAAGATAGAATATGAAAATATAAAATGTGTAAAAAAAAAAAAATATATATATTTTTTAAAGATGTTAAAAAAATATGGGAAGAAAAATTGTATTCACAAATGTTCTGGAAAATTTCAGTATATACATATAGTATGTTTTTTGGTTGCTACAATACTTCATCATTGTTCATCATTAAACAAAGAAGCAAAACTTGACAATATTTAAAGCCAAAGAAACATTTTCTAATAGGTAGGGATCAGCAACCTTTTTAAGTATCACTCATAGACTTACACATGAAATAAAGCTCTTTCATGCACTTCCCCTTTTCCCACTTTGCACCTCCATGTAGCAACCTCTTACGTTAGGTTTGTAAGTAAATGGATTCAGGCTGTTTCAAGTGAGCAGTTGACAGTGAGCTGAACAACATACAGCACCAAACAAGTCTCCAGGATTCGTGTAAATACAAAATACTTGGACAGATAAAGTCTGTAGGAGAGAAGCCCCAACAGGAGGAGAAAGGCCAAGAAAATCATTTGATGCTGTAAGTTCACCATCTCTTAATGTTCTACAGTTTTAGATCATACTAATAATCTAAACAGCGTTGGACTATGTGCATCTGATAAACTACAGAGAGATGCAATCTTAAAAGTTGGAAACTGAGCTGCAGCTGCAAAGTTTGATCCAAAAAAGATTTTTTCCAGTGAGGATAGATATGTTTCTCACTGGTAATTGTTATTTTTCTTCAAAGGTTCGAGCCCGATGAGAGGCATCCTATATTTTTAGAAAACAGCAGCTGGTGTGGCTACATACTGACAAAGATAATAGGTTTTCCTGTGCGGGTCAATAAAGCCGAAGAGAGGCTGGAAAATTGAATTCTGGGGATCTAGATCACGAGGAAAAAAAGTCCCAAGAAATGTGTAAAACAACAAGGACGCCTTTAAGGTTTTTTTTTCAACCTTCAAACATCTGGCTGACTCATTGACATTGACTCTGTTGTCTGGGTGTAGTAATTGTTTCATGACCTTTATCACAGGGAGCACACGCACAGACACACACGATTCAGAAAAAAAAAATGGAAATGGAGAAATAATGGGGATCATTTTCCACCCGGAGCATTGTCTGAAAGCATGTTACTGTGCGACCTTCAGACCAGACTTCTCTTTTTGTTTCTCCCTCCAGACACGCTCCTCATCGACTACCAGTTCACCTTCAGCCTGTCGCAGGAGGACGACCGCTACTACACCGCCATCAACTTTGTGGCCACACCTGACGAGGTTTGTCAGTCAGAAAACACCCCACTGTCACAGCAGCTGTCCGCTGCATAGGAATAAATAAATCCAGTTAATCACCTCAGGACGAGGATCATCATGCCACCAGCAGCTCTTTTCTCTTTGGCATCACCTGAAGTTCATCATTGAATGATGCAGAGCAGAAAAATTGCTTTTTTTTTTTAAAGGCTATGAAATGAAGAATCTGAAAAGTGCAGCAGGCCATTGTGTTTCAATACCCCATGTTTCTTTTTGCAAAACAGTTGAGGCTCATTCAGATTTGGTGGAGGCTGTATCTTTAAATACTCACCTTGTACAAGATGATCTTAAATAATCATCTTATGAATGTTCTAAACTACAAAGTGATGTCTTATTAGGAATGAATTCATCTTAGTCAGACTGATGTTTTCCCTGGAACAAAAGCTTGCCCAGGGCTTTTTATTCACCAGGAAAGTTAGATAAAAAAATAGAAAACATCCGATTAAATATACCAGATTGCATTTCTCCCTTATCAAAGAACTAACCAAAGTGTTGCAAGTGCTGCAATGCAACAGGAGGTGAGATCATTACCTTTATTTAGAAAGTGATATTTGTAACCTTTAATTTATGATTTTAGGAAGTAATTTAAATGAAAAGCTTTTCCTTGCTTTTAATGAAACTGCAATTGGGAAAGAAATGTGGCATCTAAAACAAGTAAAGAAGAACTGCTATAAAAATCTATTCATAATATTTGGATTTTGTCAGAGAAAATTGTCTATTTATAGAACCGAATATAAAAACGTACCAACAGCATTTCTAAATATATGTTGATCTAAGTGTAAGAGGCCATTTCCTTTAGTCATGCTGTGCTCACAAAAAGGCACCCAAAGCCTCATACTGAAAGCTGTGCTTTTTGAAGTCGGAGCATTTTTGACCCACCTTTTCTACCGAATTTGTTCAGACACTTCTGACGTTCTTCGCACTAGATGATGGGTACTGAGGTCAGGTATATCTGGATTAATTAGTTCATCTAATAAGAAAAGACAGGATACAAAGGAACTGCCTGAAGTTCAGGGGGACGGGAAATGAAAGAGGATTTTACACATCCTTGGGTTTTACTATAATTTGGAGCAAGTTAAGTTCGGCAGGCCGGGTTAAAAAGTTTAACGGGCCATAGTTTACCCATGTGTGCTCTAAAGGCTTCAAGAAGAGCTGCTCCAGGCGGTTGTACCTCTCGACACCCCTTGATGCACGTCCACCGTATATGTAAACCAGCTGCCCCTGACGCTATTAATACAGCCTTAATTACTTTGGGAAGTTTGGATTTTATTGCTTTTGTCTAAACATCTGTAAATGTGCTTCTCCTGCCTCCCAAGTTTGTCTTCTTTGCTTTTTGATTTGTTACTGAATTAGTTTTCCAGTAACCAAGTGCTTTGAGTTGATTATATGAAAATAATATTTTTTCCTGATGGCTTTTGCTAATTTTTCCTTTTCTCAATTTCTGCTTCAACTCTCCCCGCAGCCAAGCCGTGATCTAGACATGTTTATCAATGCCTCCAAGAACTTCAATCTGAACATCACCTGGGCTACGAGTTTTACAGGTATGTTTGGTTTCATTTCATATTCTGTTTTAGAAAGAAAAATATTAGTTTGAGCTTTTATTCAGGTTAAAAACGAAACCATTTGTGTAGGTTTGTTTTTGATTTGAGGTATTTTAATTTTAAGTATTGTAAGTTTTTTTTTGCTTCAAAACAACTGAACAGAAAGACAAGTAATTTAGTATAATTTTTTACTATTCTTTTTATGTTCTGCTTTTTAGCCATATTTTTGTCTTAAATCCTATATTTCTCGTAGTTGTCTCCAGTTTGTTTGGTGACTTTTCTGGCTTTTTTTTTTTCTCCTGCTGCATCCACTCTGAGTCAATGCATGAATGCCTCCCATTTCTTTCCGGTGTCTTATTTGCTTGTTGAACTGCTCCTTCTCTCTTTTTTGTCATTGTGTCCCTCAGCAGGCACCCAGACTGGAGAGGAGATTCCCATCGTCTCACGGAGCAACATCAAAGAGTTCAAAGAAAGCTTCTCCAACGAGAACTTTGATTTCCGAAACAGCCCAAACATAACATTCTTTGTCTACGTCAGCAACTTCACCTGGCCCATTAAGATCCAGGTGTGCTTCCATAGCCTTTCCTAAACACACAGCTAGACTGTTGTTTGATTTCAGTGTTTATTTTATCCTCTTCACTAATCTTTGAGGTCAGTGTATATATATATATATATATATATATATATATATATATATATATATATATATAT